TACAACATTGTGAGTGAAAAAATAAATTTCTTACATTTTTCTTGACAAATTCCCTGATTTCTGCAGGAATTGCAAGCCAGCGTTGCTGATATTGGTACTTCAATTGGGCATCTTTGGACGTAAGTTGATTTTTGAGCTGAAGACCCGCAGCCATACGGGCAAGAGGACTAGCAGTGGCAGTAACCAGCACTTCGCTGAGTCTTTGCATGAACTCATGCTATAATAATGTAAAATTAAATATAATCTTCAAAAGCTATATTCCAAACCAATCTAGAAACTTCTACCAAAACGACCAGGTAACTTACGAGATTAGTTTGTGCTGCTTGCTCCAAAAAATTTTGAGCTGCTTCCAGTTCATTTTTGTCTGAAATCGCCAACGAAAATGAACATAATTAACACCATCGATCGAGCTGATTGGCTCGCAAATGTCACACCGCTTAATTCGACGATAGAGGTTAGAAAGGCACGATGCATTCGTACTCACCGTGCTAACCGACATCGGGGACATGCAGTACGAATAACCGTCACATAGGACAATAATTTTCCGACCGTGAACAAAGCCCCTTAGCAACAGTCAAATGGAGCTCAATACGACATATTAAAATGCGAACAAGATACCCCGATAAAATACTAACGCAACGATGTCCAGAAATTCTCGAAAAAACAATGGAGACTCGAACCAACAAAGATACCGAGAGATACACGAATACACCGGACGAAGCATAAAAGAGACGCGCACGCGGTGGAACCTTACTTTTACGAGCAAGGTCGTGAAAAAGGTGAAGAACATTCGTTGACGACCGGTAATAGTATCATTCGCAAAACAATTCGAAAGCAAGGTCAAGGCGAATGAAGCGGACCGAGAAAAATTAGTCTCGATTCCATGATGTCGCCAACCTGAATCGGATAAATCAAACGACTCACCTGACGAGACGGTCCTCTCGAGAACCTGGATCAGTTGCACCGTCGTTGAATCCATCTGCATGATTACGGCTGTTTTCGGCTATTGATTATCGTTGCGATACGTATCCTTTATGCTCTGATAGGAAATGTCTCCTTGTCACGACCGGCGGACATCCACATGTAGCCGCCACCGAATCAACTGGCTGACGACGTACCCCCCTTCTTCCCACTTCCTGCCCAGTGCTCGGTTTCTGCTTCCTTCCACAACGTGCGGCGTAATAATACCCGCGCCCTTTGATATTCCCACGCCTCTACGATGTATGGACGGTACTACTTAATCGACGAAACGAAAGGCTATATAAGAGCAACGATGTACGCCACCGATCAACGAATACACTCGAATCCACGGCGGTCAGAATGAATCGCGTGAATATGGCAATAACGCTGTCACGAGTCACACGGTTCTCGTAAACGATCGTCGTGTCTCTTCGAGCGCGGACTACTTTGTCTGTGCGTTGTGCGAATTTGTTTCACGCACGCGCATCAGGGACTGCGAACGCCATCTGCGCCCGGTGCCAGAGCTCCCGCGCCTGCGTGCTACGAGAGACCGTTATGCCGGCGAATTTTGAAATGATCCCACTGCTTCGCAGCTGCACACACGTTACGCGAATCACACTCGCACAATCGCGTTCGCACAATCCCGTTCGCACGTGACGAAGACTATTGGTGTTTCGTCATCCCGAACAACGCGACATTCTTGTTCGAGAAGTTATTTATTCTTATTGTTTTTTTAGATTGCGGAAGTCTAGTATGTACGTACACTCAGTTCTCTCTTTATACAGTCGTTTTTTAAGAGTTTCGATTCAACACGGTCCAAAAAGAAAGAACTGCTTCTAATTTTTGTGCATGATTTTTGTTCGTTTTGTTTAATCATAGTTTTATAAATCAATTGATTTTTGAAAATAAATTTATTATTGCGTATTCAAAATTTTTACGTAACTTACATCTGTAAATTTTATGCTATATGCGAAATCGGCTGTGCGGTTTGACTTTTATTCAAAGTTTCAATTCGCTGTTTTGCTGTAATCAATATATGTGCCGTTTATTTTGAAAGTAACCTAAATCCATGTACATTTAAATTGGGTTATTTAAGAGTTTGCGTTTCAATGAAATTAAAAATATACGTATAAGATACCAATGTATCACACTCCTTATTGCGTGAATTTTTTCTATTTAATTAAGGAATTCTTCAGAATGTATATACCGTATAAAAATATGTCCGAGATTTCTATATAACTTTGAATTATTAATTTAAAAATGTGTATTTTTTCAGTTCACAAATTCTACTCAATTTAAATAGTTTCCTTTTTTGATAATTTAATTTTTTTATATATTATTTGCTGAAGGAATGCAGATAAATAAATATATGAAGACTCGCACGTGACTGTTTGTATTTAATTTAAAAATACTGAGTAACAATGCAATTTTTGTCAACCGTGTGCCAGATTTTAGCAATCCCCACGTAGAATAAAGTTAAAAAGAAAATTATTGATCGTGATACGTAGTACAGCACGGTTAGACTACAAACACTTTGAAGACTTCAGGTACCAGATCTGGAATTAAGCACCAGGTGCGCGTTATGTAAAATCGCAGGACCCTTGACAACCGTTGGATTCTGTCGATAATTGTTTGAATACCTGTTGCGTTGTATACAAACTATAAAGAGGGTTATAATGTCGTGAGGAACACGGGGTACTCGAACAGAATCGAAGTAGATCATCGGTTATTTTAATAGATTTAATGAAACGATATACAGAATACATTTGCTTTCGTAATGCATCGCAACGCATCGTCCGCGTGCCTTACCATCTATATCACATGTCAATTTTTTTATTTATAAAATATAATGGTCATAATGTTTTCTCTCACGTCATGCCTTTGAACTGCTTTCTTGTTCGCATATCGAAAGTATGTATATACGTATGTATGTATATGTATATACGTACATATATATATATGTATATGTATATATATGTATATATATATACAAATATATATAATTCTTAATTTATTTATATTTATATTAAACATTATATTTATATATTTTTATATATATATATTATATATATATTATATTTTATAATATTATATATTATTCAAGCGAGAGGGAACTGTGTGTGGCTCGGCACAGAATTACAGAGAATCAGGCCACGGAAAGAATGTTTCGTGAATGTGCGCACGGTGTAAACAACTTGAGTAGAATATTTTACAATATTTAAGAAACGTCTAACGTTGCTGGATATCGACGGTCGTAGGGGTGAAAAGGCCGGTGATCGGGAAACTTCCCTCGCAAATTCCTTTTTTATTGTCGTCGCCGAATATAAGTTTGCAAGGCGACTGATCGGTAAAAATCATCGGCGAGCCTAGCAGTCGATTTTCGATTCACACCTCCTTTTCAATTGTACGGCCGTCAATACGTCGATAAATCGATCGACATTATTTATCCATTAATTGGCGGCGCAACCAGAAAGGGGAACATGAGCGGCACCTGCCCCTTGCTTGGGAAAGAATTACAAATCTTCTTTTTTAACATTCAGCAAACATACAAAATTTCTCTTAATTCTTTGGTTTATCCGTTAAGGACCGACGTTTTCATTGTTTCTGTTGAATAACATCAGATTTATTTGGTTACACAACAAATTGTACAGATTGTTACTAAATGTAAACAAGAAAAAATCTCGTATCTTGTTGCTTTTTTTTTATTCGAAAATTGATTTTTACATGATAGAAAGGTAATTACTTTTATTCGTAAACATAGATGTAGCAAAATTTTATCTCTCCCCTCGGTTTGGGATTTCTGATTGCGTCACCGCAATTAATTCCGTCTATCAGTTTCTTCTGTCCCTTTCTCCTGTCGCGTTCCGGACCCCTTCGTAGAAATGCATGCTTAAATTATTGCATCGATCGATATTATTTCGATAAACGAGTGCTCGACGCGCGGATTCACTCAACGAGTTCGTCCCGCGTGGTCGATGACCGTCGCTTGCCAGCACGTCGGGCGGATACACTCGTCGTATATAAATTTATATAAATTCACTTTCAACGGTGCAACGTCTACCACCTTCGACGCGTGGGTACGTGTGTGTGCCTGTAATCGTGCATTTTATTATTATGCTGTATCCGCAGATATTCGTAGGGCAGAATACGGATCGATCGTTGTAGAAATGTCCGTACGAAGACGAGAATCCGCTGCTCCACGGTCCTTTTCCGTCACTAACGTTCGACAATATTCAAAAAAAGGCCGATCAGGTGGGTGAAATCATAGGGAACAATAGAGAAACTCTGAATCTCTGGATGGTATATTTTGCACTAGATACGATCACTCCTATCGAGGAAAACGATCTTCGAACGCGTTCGATAACGCTTCCGTTATCAGTGGACGGAGAGGGAACGAGCTCTGACTTCAAGCTCGAAAATTCGAATGCGACAGGTGCGCGTGTGCAACAGTTGATCGAAAGAAATAATTTATTAACAGAAGAAGACAAAGAGACCTTCGAAAAAAAAAAAGTAATGGAATCATCCGTTGATTGAACATTTATTGTTACATCGAGGGAAGTAGGATAGTACACCTAACGGAATTGGCCGTTTGCTCGTTACAGACGATGACAATTAAATTGGTAACAACAACATTCGGACAACCTCGTTCCTCGTATTGTGATATTTCTACAGTCATGAATGATCCGAAATTTCCCTTTCTCTCCCTCTCTGTCTCTTCCTAACCCTATGCTCTCGCTTTGTCTTTTTTTCTTTTCTCATATTTATATAATTCCCCTTCCTGGATCGGGAAGGTGCGCGCGCGAATTATACATGTCGTAGAAAATAATACATCGCTAATTGGCGATCGAGTCCGGAGTAGGTCCGACAGAATCAGAACCAGAACACGTCAATCACGAGTTAATTGTTTCCACTCCAATAGGGGATCGGAAACGTGTCGCGACACTTCCTTTAATTTCCTTAAGTAATAGGAACAAAAATACCCCTCCTCTTTGTTCGCTGCGAGGCGAAAACCAACGAATCCTCGAAGTCGTTGAGCTGCTCGTTGATCACAATTAGCCTAATAGCACCGTTTTACTTGACGAATTCCTGCTGCCTTCCGAATCTCTTCCGGACTCGATTAGCTCTTCTATACACGCGGTGGAAACGATCGGTCTTTTGTCTATTTTTACAACGCGCCGAAACGGTTGCCGATAATTAAAAATTAATCGTCACCGATCATTGCAGCCGAGCGAACGACAGTAGAAATTCCGTGCAACCGTTCGTTTCCACTGCGCTGTCCTAATTTCGTTCGAAAAGGGAGACGCGTTCGTGCGACCCTTTCGAAATTTCTTGTACCTTGCTGCCGGGTATTTTGTTCATTTTTTTTTTCAAACACCTGCGATCGTATCCAAGCACTATCACAGGGTGAGTCGGCAGGACCGTTTGGCCCGCGCCTTGCACTTACAGGGACCTCAAATTAACAAAATAAAATAGTTAAGATATTTTGTTGCTTTAACGATCGGTTCATGATTTGGTTCATAGTTTTGACACAAACGCCAATATTAATGCATTTCGATTGGGATCTACTACTTGGACTCATCGGTAGGAGTCCCATCATTATACATCCAGAGTGATCCACGCAATTTGCACACCTTGATCAACTCCTAAAATATGCATTGTATGAAAAAGTGTTTTATGAAGATGTTACATGATTTGAAGGGATACGTTATGTAGTGCATATTTTTATTTTATATGCGAAGGTACTTCAGAGATTTTAAGATTAATTTTGTTATTTTAAATGGAATGCTACAATTTTTTTTGCCAACGTATTGAAGAACGTGAAATTCTAAGTGGAAAGGTAGCTTGTATTTTAGAAATTAATCTAGATGTGCAAGTTACGTGGACCACCATATACATATATACATCGTATAATGTATGGCTATATGTAAATATATTGAATAATATATACAAATCAATTTAACGATATTTTAATATACAGGGTGTCCCAAAAATGTTGTAACACATTGAAAGGGATCGTTCGGGAGGTGATTTGAAACAACTTTTTCCTTAGCGAAAATGTTGTCCGAGGCTTCGTTGAGGAGATATTAACGGAAAACACTGACCAATCAGAGCGCGCGGATACCGTTGGAGCGGTCGCGGTAGCGAAGGTTATGTGCTAAGCGGCCGCGCTTGTACGCGAACAAGCACCTTACGTGCGTCGAAGGACATTGGACGCGGCCGCTTAGCTCGTAGCCTTCGCTACCACGGCCGCTCCAACGGTATACGCGCGCTCTGATTGGTCGTGGTTTTCCGTTAATATCTCCTCAACGAAACCTCGGACAACATTTTCGCTAAGGAAAAAGTTGTTTCAAATCTCCTTCCGAACCACCCCTTTCAATGTGTTACAACATTTTTGGGACACCCTGTATATACATATATAACAAAATATTGTTCAATTGGAAATATAAAGTATATGTGTAATGTTGAAAAGTTTTTTATAACACAGTTCTATGACAAAATTCGTAAAAATGAATGAGAAATCAAATTTAAGAGAAATTGAAGAAGAATTTGGTTAAATAGTTAACAAATTATCAAACGAAAGATAACTGTTTTAATAATTCATAACGTCACATCTAAAGTGGAAGCTGATCCGATGAGCCCACATGTTAGATCCGGAACTTATCTTAGCATGTTCCAAAAATATTACTCTTTCCTCAGAACAGAGTTTTGTATAATATATTATGGACCTACAAAAAGTAATTGACCCTCTCGATCTTTAAGGGGGCTTGATCGCATCTATTCGCAAACGTTTTCACAGACATCGTTTGTCAATTAAGCTCGTTCGCACGGAGAAAAGCATTCGTCGCTCAACTCGATTACAAGTTTTCGATCGAAATGTTCCCCTATTTGAAAAAAAAAATTGAATTTCCTAGCCTCGTCGCTCGATAAATGGAGCTGGACGCTGATCGTTCTTTTCTCCGTGTATTCTTCTGTAACGAGAGGTCGCGAAGACTATCAATTGGATCGTTTCTACGCGAGACACAGCACCGAAAGAACAGTATAAAAAAGAAACAAAATGGATCGATTTTCCAGAGGAACCATGTTTTGCGCAGAGATCGATGAAGAACGGCTTCGGGCTCGAGGTCGTCGATCCAAGGATCGCTACCTCGAGCCAGGAGATGTTCACAGCGAAGCGTCGAACATTTGCAGATATACACGGCATTAGACTAACGTATACACACGTAATTATTTTACACCTATTGTGCACATACATGTATTTAAACGTGTCTCCGTCGCTTCTTAAGATAAACCCCGCGTCGTGATCACGCGGAGCCTTTGTCCGATTAGGTGCACGCTAAGTTAACGCTGTGATGATCTCGGATTATCTCGTATAACGCTGTATCGGTTGGATCGGTTTACTGGGGTTGTAGTTTAACGGATCGACGAGTAACATACACGCAAAAGAGGAAAGTGTCATTGACGAAGGGTCGAGTTGACCGGAGACCCGTTCTGGAGATCCATCCAGAAATCGAGGATCGAGGATAAGGATAGCCGGATACGTGGTTCGCCGAGTAACCTCGAACCGTTTACAGCCTCAATTTGTTTCTCTGTTCTCGGTGTCAATCGGATTCGTGATACAGTAGCATGGCATAGAACATGAAAAACCATCGATTATATCTATATGCGAAGCATGGGTAGAGAATTTCTTGTCGATCTCAAACGGAGTCGAAGAGGACGATGAACGGAGATACGATGGGACCAAGTTTTTCGACCAGTTTCGAATCTTTTTGTCGCGGTTTGACCTGTAGAAATATAAACAGTGGCGGGGATGAGACCTGATCGCGAATCCGAGCAACGAATTCTATCGATATCCGAGACACTACCGTACCGGAGAAACTGCGGCGGCAGAGGAGTGCTTAACGTTGACGGTGATTTCTTACGCATTAGCAGACGAATGGTAACACAAGGTGGTGGTAAGAAGGTAGCAGATGGTAACAGTGGTAGTAGCGGCGATAATCGCCGTAAGATCGTAACGCCTAGCGGTAAGTAATAAGTAATAGTAGTAGTAAGTAGTAAGTAATAATATAAGTAGTAGTAGCGGCGCGATATACGTATAAATAGGACTTTCTACGTTAGTTTGATTAAAAATAAATGTCATAACGTAATAGGTAACTTTATGCCGGGCCCGTTGCGGAGCCGTTGCCACTCACCGACGACGATGGGCACAGGACGATCAAGGTTGGGTGGCGCTTACTTTGCGATTACTTTTGCGATAAATGCGGGTGGTTTGCAATCTTTCGGAGCTAATCGTATCTGAACATTCGGTAAACATTAATCATGATTGATCGGTAACCACGATACCGGTGGTTACGTTTCGCCCAGCGTTGTCCCATCGCATCGTGCGTCAGCGAGCTGCCAGCAGATCGGCTGAGCCTGGGCCCCGTTTCACTCTCCCTTTCCCTTAGTTGTCTAAAATCACATTAACGCAAGAGTAGTGGTAATCGGAGGCCGGGTCCATCCCGACCGGCGTGACTTGGAAGACACTCACACGTTTTCAATGATACTAAATCCCATGCGATCAACGGGGGGGGGGGCCCCGCCCCGGGAGCGGGTCAGAGCACCAATTAGCCTCCAAAGCTTAGGGACACGCGTCTCCGAACGAGTAACGGACACCTACGGGGATCGGGAATGGAAAGGATACGACGGTTCTTTAGCATCATCGCGACGTTCGAGTGTGATCGAAGTCACGTTCTACGTCTAAACTGTCAACGAGGAAGAGCGTCACGTTTAAGCGGGAACTCGTCTTCCCTGCCGTCCTCGTGTTTCGCTCTTCCGTCGTTGCTCTGATATGTTGCGAATCCTCAATGCATTTCTTCCTCCTCGCCGACGGATAAGTACATTTATTCACCGTAAGATGAGAGTTCGTTTTCACGACGGATCGTCGAGGATTAGAACGCACCAGCGACGAGAGAAACTTTGGGTGTTCGTTGACGCGGCAATTTATACAAAGTAGGTAGAAAAGTGATAAAAATTTGTGTATGCTGCTTCTTCTTCTTTTTTTTTTTTACTCCTTTTTGTGCACGTTTTGGGGGAAATATATAACGTAGCCGTTAGTCGAATCGCCAGCTTAGTGAACACTCCATGATTGGGCACCCTCGGTTGTCTCGATTATCTCGTACACGAGGATGATCCGTCGTTCGTTTCGTCGCTGGTTTCCTGTTCTAGACCACGAGGATTCGCCGTGAATCCGGGACGACCATCGACTGCTCGGGTGTCTGCGCTCTCGATAGCAAGAATAGTCATTACATCGTACAGTATTTAAGTAGTAATAGCGGTAATAGTAGTAGTAGTAACGATAGTAACATTTGTCCCCCCTCCCCTTCCCCCTCTCTTCCGACACATCACGAAGTCATTCATCCACGCGTTCAGTGAACGCCGTTCGCTCGTCCATACGTTGAGGGAATTTTGTCTGAATTCAACATCCATGCACACACGCATACATCGAACGTCCAAGTGTCTCTCAGCCCTTGGGGGTGTCGAGCGTCGAAAGTGTCCGCGTACGTGTTCGATCGGAGCCGACACGTGGGACGACGATTACGACACTCGTGATAAACCATGTGAGGATACACGCAACGAAGATAGTAGAGACTACGTGTACGTTTAGAACTAAGGAAACTTAATCGTGTACGCGACCGCACGGATCTCGCGAGTGAATTGTCCTACGCGACGACAGCCTTCTTAGGCTTGGCTCGGCGAGGCGAGTTAGAACGGCAGACTACCGACGAACATCGTCTCGATCAGCGGCGGCGCCGGAACCAGGTCCTCCAGTTTCAGGTAGAAGATACGCTGGAGGCCCTGCACCGACAGACTCCTCAGTTCTGGTAGTTTTCCCAACAGCCGGGACAGGTAGTGCGCTTTCCTCTGCGCTTCGGCGTTGTAGGTCACGTGGTCGCGTAGGGACGAGATGATTTTCATTTGCAGCTGCTCCATGCGATGAGGCTCCTTCAGGCCGTACCTTTCTGCAATTGCAAAACAGGAACGGTGGTTCTCGTCAGTATTTTGCACTTGTAGGATTAGTATAGGATGGAGATGGGGTCCCGCGGCCAACAGGTTGCATATGCTCTTTCGAGAAGATTCTGTATAATTTCACGAAGACGTAATAAGAAGGCCACTGCTTTGAGGTTCAGTGAAACAGATTTTGTTTTTGTAACTGTCGCTTGAGTCGATAATCGTTCGAACTAAAAAAACGTATACAGAGTGGTCCATGCAATTTGTACACCTTGATCAATTCTTAGAGTATACGATGTATAAACTAATTTTTGTTTATACCAAAGTTGTATAAATTAAAGGGGACATGATGAGGTGTATACGTTCCTTTTACAAGTGGAGGCGTTTTGGAGATTTGATTTGGAAAGTTAACTTCGTTATTTTAGATACTTTTAATGACAATATATAGAAGAACGTAGAATTCTAACTAAACGTGTTGACGTTTATTAACTCTAAGCAATTGAGAATAGCTTCGCTTTGACTCTCAACAAATTTACTTAAGGTTAATATGCCTGCTGCACAGTCAGGTTTGCCCTCTTGTAACATTCTCGATAAAGGGCTGTAACGTCCTTATCTAAATCACCAAGGGTCGAGTCGATCGAGAAAAAATAGAAAATGTTACACGCAACATACCTTGGTGGTAATTGCGTCCAAACACCGATAGTATCTTGGGTACACAATTATGAACCTAGTAGAGGCTGGCGATGTTGCCGATATTACACTATGTAAGTTTGACGACAAACGAAGCGAAACTATTCGTTAACTGTTAAGTTTAGAGTTAATAAAGATGAATATCTTTTAATCAAAATTTTTGTTTCTAAAAAAAAAGGTTGTTTAAATTGAACATAATAACTGACAAAAAGGCACGAGTACAGTTCTTAATATATCACCGGTGAACGGATCAAGCTTCGTACTAATAAAATGGTCGATAGGTATAGAAAAATATTTATAAGTTCATCGCGTAAAGCGAATTGCGATTGAAAAAGTGAGAAAAGTTTATACAGCTCAATTCAGAATGATCAAACGCGTCTAAGACAAGGTTACATAACCACGAACTTAGTTCTTATGTATGTTATCAAAGTATTTGGACAAAGTTTAATAGAATCGTAGTTCATTGTACTATATACGTTTAGGCAATAGAGAAGTACTACATAAAATTGCGTTCTCGTCTTGAAAACTAATTTCTGTAAGCTCCACGATTCTTCAATCTTTCATGTCATCCTGTCGTAACCACTTAGGTCTATACGAAACGAGCTCACAACAGGACTTGTTCCCTAATTTATTTCCTACCGAACCAGTAGATCGATGGTTGCGTGCAATTGACTTCCTGCAGCTCGATAACGCCCGAAAAGGCGCACGCACGTAAAACGCGCGCGGAAAATCACGGGGACGTATCGCGTGCGAGCCACTGACGATCGCGGTTTCTTTCGTCGTCGTATCGATAACTAGCCAATCAATGGGTAAATAATTTATCTCGTAGACGGCTACGCGTAATGGGAAACCGTCAGACTGTGAAAATACAGAACGAAAGCTAATCGAATGGTCGATATCTTCGTACATATACTTTTTATTTAGAAAAAAAAAGAACTAATAAAATTAAAATATAGTATATATATTGGCGAGAATTCGAGCAAGTGCTAAATTGAATGAAAAAGTTACTCGAATATAACGATTTCTATTATATTTTTACCCGAAACAGTTTCAAAAGGAAATCGAAACGTTGCGTAATAACAAATTTTTTTTTTATCCGTAGGTCTTTCTTTCTAATTCTTACACGCTTATTTTATTATCACGAACAACAAAGGAATAAAGCTCTCCTCGAGAGCGCAATTAATAATTTCATTTGTATAGGTAAACCCACAAATAGACCAACGCATATATCGAGGATTACGAAAGATGGCTAATCTCTTTACACATTTAACCAGATTAATAATCTATCAATTTTCAGTACGATGGAAAAATAAGTGTAATCGGAAGCGCATTGGATAAGACGGAGATAATGACTTAAAAAAAACTTACCAGTAATGAGGGTGAGAGCACAGAGACAGGCAAAAGCGCTAATGTCTACGTCGAGAACGTGAAGAGCTTTGCAGAACTCGAGAATGCTGTGAAGCCAATCGCCGAAGCTGCGTTGACATTGCTCCAGCGCGAGGACCACGCCGTTGCAAAACGTCAACTTGGTGTCTTCTGGTTTTGTACGGTACGCCAACCGCAGAACGAAGAGTTCCAGACTTGCCGATTGGAAAAGTAACTCCTAGAACAAGGTACATCGCCAGTGAACGATTTAATCCAGACTTGGGAAGCCTTCGAATTTCTCCGATCGTGTTTTAATTACACTTTCGACCTGCGTTTACTTTTAACGATAAAGTACTAGTCTCAGGAGAACCTCAAGGGTACTACTTGACAACCGGTTAATCAGACTGTCGATTAAACAAGTCGTCGGCTCGCCAAGATTGACCTTTTATAAAATGTACAAGCTATTGATCTCTATAACGAGAGCTTTCTTGTGTATGTTGTCTAGAGGTCGATACGTAATAAACTTTTAGGATTGAGAAGAGATACTGATGTTTGGGAATTTTTCTGGCGATACAGAATGATTAATATACATTTTTGAAAACTGTTAATTTGTGTAGAAAATGTAGGCGTTCTAGTACCTCGCTACTCTAGTCGAACGGTGTGAACCAATTTATTTGGTAGTAATGGTTAGAATCGAATGGAATGTACATTTTTGAAAGCCACCTTGGGCGAGTGAAAATCACAGCTACGTTGAACAATTTTTTTCTAGAAAATAATTCACTTAATACAAGATCTGTTTGCTGAAGTTTATTATACATATATTGAATAATAAACAAATAACTTTTGTATAGACTTTTTAAACGACCTGGTCTTTCATTTCAGGTTTCAGTTATTCGTAAAAGATTTGTGTAATGAATCCAACATCGCTATTTCACTTAAAAAATCTAAATAAAAATTATTGTTTCAATATACGAGTATATGTATGATAAACGTCAGCAAACAAATCTTCCTTTCAATTGTTTTCGAAATAAGACTTGTTGAATATTCTTATGATTTTCACGCGTCCAAGTTGGCTTTTTCTCTCCCTCTTTAAGAGAAGGAATGATCACTACATACCTGGTCCTCCCGAAGTAGGTCCGTGAAGCCAGGTATTTTGTCCGCGAAATTTCGAATCACGTCGATGGAGGTGGTGAGAAGATTGTAGAACTGCTGCGTTTTCTCCGCTTCGGTGATCGGTAGATCGCCTGGTCTAGGTTGCCTATACTGCGAGTAATCTAGGCTAGCCTGATCAGGCGTGGTGTCCAAGTGTGCGCGCACCAAAGCGGTGATCAAGGAAACTGGTGGGCTAGGAGGTGACTCCTGTGGTGATTTCGGCTTCGAGGGTAACCTACCCCTGCGGCCCTTCAAGGAGTCTGTCCTGACCACCTGCGAAACAATAATTATCTAATAGTTCTTAACTCTAAAATATAGCGATGGTTGAAATGCGAATGTTTGTGCAGGTTCGTACTTTTATGGATGATGTCTTACATCGAATAGTATGTCTTAACTTCTAAATATCTTAACATGTATATGTCTTGTCAAACACCAAGCAAGTAAAGCAATAATCTTCAACGATCATTAATATACTAATGTCACTTGACTTGAATAGTTTCGAGGAGAACGATGACTTTATTCTATAGAACAATTAAGTTTTGATTTGTTCAGTATCAAGTATCGCACTTTATTTTATCTTTGATACACTAATTTTTATTCGATGAGTATGAAATATCAATAACTTGTTTGTTCCTTTTTTTTTAATAGAATCTTTGATGTAGGGGCACTGGCTAGGACTAATGATTAGATGTGAAGTCTGTCACCCACCTCCTTGACCATGCCGACCATCAGGCACTTCTGGAAGCGACAAAATTGGCAACGATTCCGTCGACGTTTGTCAACAGGGCAAGCTTTCTCGGCGAGGCACACGTACTTCGAGGCCTTTTGCACGGTCCTCTTAAAGAAGCCCTTGCAACCTTCGCACGTACGCACACCATAATGTTGACACGCCGCCGTGTCCCCGCAAACAGCGCACAGTTGACTCGGGCTAGGAGGCGCTCGCTCATTGCTTGCTCCGCTTCCGGACGAGGGAGAGCTCACTGAACTTCCGGTCCCACTGCCGCCACGTGCTTTTAGGGATTCTGTGCTGCTACTACTGTCGATAGTAGAAACGATTTTTTTTAATCAAAACTGGAGACCTATATTGTAACATAAAATGCTAGTATTGTAAATATAGTATGACGTCATACTGGTATATTTACTTGTATTTACTGGTAAGTATTTTGGTTTTCCTACTTGATTACAATTTGAAAAAACTAAGTCGCAATTGTGAAAATGATAAGAGAATTGGGCAATAAAAGATACAACTCTATTCATATATTATTATAGATATTGTAAGTATCCTATTGTATCCTTGTTTAGATTCGAAAGAAAATGCTTTAGAATTTTGGCATAAATAAAAAACTAATATACCTACACTAAATTGTATTCATTAGCTAAAGTATCTTTGGCAGTTCTACCAACTCAAGTTAGTGTAGAGATACTATTCTCATCTCTTAAATATGTATTTTCATCATTGCAGTATAATTTATCTGATAATGTCCTTAATGATGTCTTAATATGTAGAGCTAATAACAATGTAAATTTGTAAGTTGGTAAACGTATTATTACTCTTATGAATTATCGACAAAAGTAAATATCTTAACCTACCATTTCTACAATAGGAATACCAAAAACAATACCAGTATGAATATAGGTTTTCGAAAAAAATGGGATCTTATATGGAAGATGATAATAGAAAAAGATATACACGTTTTTGACCTAAACGATTATCCTAAGATATAACACAAAATTATCATAGCTGTAAGAAATAATATACTTTTAATAGATAAACAACAATACGGCAACAACGTATGAAAGTTGTTATTAAATTGGCTTACGATAATGTTTGAGAAACCATGAATACTATTGTTTAAATGAATATGTCAAGGTTTCTATCTTCCGGAAGAGTGAAATTTATAAGTATTAAAATAAAAATTATGCTGATATGATATGCATTTTCTACCTCTATTCTACCTTTGGGACATTCGATAAAATCAAAGAACACAAAAAACGGCACAATTATGTATATTAGCAAATAATTTATCGTGTGAAAAGAAATTGTTCGTTAAGACGCGAGAGGTAGACGTATGACAAAAAGTCCTATGGATTGGAGCAAAGTAGCAAAACAACGTCGTGCTTAATTGATTAAATTGCTGAAACGAGGAAATAGAGATCGCATTTGACGTAAGAAACGATTAGCGTATGACCCGGTTAAACTCGACATCGTCATCCATTATAAGAACGACGAAGTAGAGTTCACATTAGCGTAATGAATGTGTCTCAAACATTTCAACTGCAATTATAGTAACGAGTTTAATCCTTTATTAATATGTCGTTCCTATCATAAATCGTACAGTGATTGTCAGGCGTAGTGTACACGTAAAATGGCGTGTAATAAAAATAACTGTTTACTTTTATCAAATAGTTTCTTCTATCAACGCAACGATCATCAGAGTTTGATATCTAATCAAACATATTTTCCTCGCATCATTTTGAACCTACCATTCATTCTAGGCGTAAAAATTATTTTTCTTAAAGGGTTAGTTCTAGCCAGGACTTTGAAAAAATTCATTTTTTTTCCAGTTTCTTGAAGTATGATATCTTGAAAATATATTTTCAAGTTAATCCGATGAATAGTTTTCGAGATATCCAAAAATTACTAAAGAGCTCTTGGACTCGATAACAGGTAACTGAAGGTAACTACTACTATGTTTACAACTTTAAACCTGTTTTTTTAAAAACTATGTTTTCATAGTCGGTGACCACTGTGATTCAAGAATCACTCGATATATTTGAATGAAATTCATAAACTGTATTCTAGGTATAAAAATGTAGTTATTGACCGAAGGATTTTTTGTTTCGATGAAAAATTTAATTTGTATAAACAATAAACATGCCCATTTTTCCTTGAAAATGCGTAAGTAAATGATCAGAGGCCGTCATTTTCCTAATTTTCAAAAAAAAAAAAAAGAAAGAAAGGGCTTCGATTAATTACTAGATTAACTGTTAAACTAATTGTTTATGTTTGTCGGACTGATTTTACATGAACCAGTAAAAAGTTATGATGGTCACCGCAAAGAACTACTTGTGGAACAGAGTTCAACAAATACGCCAATAACTCTGTCTACAATAAATATTTTATTTTGAAACCTTTGTCGAATAAAGTTAAGACATTGTATAATAACTTAGTATTATTTTTTGTATAAAATATATTAAATTATTGTAAAAAAAAATGATTTAAGTATCCATTATTTCACGCCACTGACTAGACCTAACCCCTTAAGGGTACGCCTACCAAAGATTATTCAACATAAAGAGACAAAGAAACAGTCATTATAAAAAATATATACACTTCTTACCTGACGGACTCTAACCTTTGCGTGGGCAAAGACGCTCGTCGCGCTCGTGACGTCCTGACGACGACGTTGTCGACGTTGGGGCAGAGATCTGTAGGTGCCACGGGGGTAGCACCGCCAGTTATGGCCGGTGGTGGTCCGTAGACCATGGGGACGCTTACAGCTGCACCGTATGGCGAATCTTGCCGATGATTCAACGGAGACGGAACCGCCGTTGTCGGCGTGGGCGCCGTCTCCGTGGCAAAGTAACCCTGGTGATGATGGTGGTGGTGTTGCGGCTGGGGAGGCGGTTGCTGTTGCTGGTGGGGGTGATGATGATGATGATGGTGCGGCTGCTGCTGAGGCTGTTGCTGGTGATCGTGGTAGGGCATCGTGGGCGAGAACTCGGTGGGATAGTGACCCGTGCCGCATGGATACACCGGGTTGTCATAACAGTCCTCGTCCATCTTAATGCCGAGGACTTGAAGTTCCTGTCTAGTATACCGGGGAGCTGTGTAGGTCTCTTGGAAGCTCGGCAAGGGTGTTGAGCTACGTCAGACGGATCGGGATTAAATGTCAATGCACCGTTAACCCATCGACCGACGAACGAAATGTCAGTCGTGATTTTTATCAATCTCTGTCGAAGACGATCGTCAGCTACGTCTTCGTTCAAGCGACCGATAACATCTACGAATTCGAATCTCAAACTTAGAAAGACTGTGAGCCCTGAGCTGTTACGTTAACCCCTGGCAATACAAATTTTCTGGTTTCAGTTCTGTCGAGTCTCACTCGACGTAGGACAGCGAGGGGTTGAAGACCAAGCTTGAGCCTAACTGTGTTACGTGGTAATTATTTTTGGATAAATATCTTTCCAAACAGGTACTTTATCAACGATAGGAAATTATGCTCGACTATGCTCCCCATTGGTTCGTAACGAAGAATTCGTAGTTTTCGTATTAACAATGATAGTATTTATATAGAAAGAAGAAATCATTTTGTTTTCATAAAGATAGTACAAGTATTTGTAACGTTTATCTACTTTTAGAGTGAGTATTATTAATATTTTAAGTAATAATTCGATTACGACTTATGCATTTCCCTTTAGAAAATCAGAAGCTTTAATAAAGTAAAACGAGGGAATACCTAAGCGAATCAGCTTGGACGTCTTCGGGAAGAGGAGCTGCAGATGGAGGCGGTTGTGGCGGTTGTTGGTGATGCACGGCTTGCTGGGACTGTGCCGACTCGTCGGCGGTTGGGACACCTTGAGGATTGCCGAGCTGCAGTTCCGGAAATGGGTCCAATTCCTCGGGTAAGCTTCCCGCATCCGCAGGATCCGAGTACGACGCGCTCAATAAATCTGCTAGCGTGCTACATCCGAAAGGGCTCTGAAAACAGAGATTGGCCTCTAGTTGGACAACTTGCGACGTTCTGAACCTTCCAATATTATTAACCCTTAACGGTCGTAAGTTGAACATTACCAATGGAGCGATTAAAATATCCAGTGATATAACATGGACTTTTAAAATCAAATTTTAATATTTTGGTTCTGACAAACGAATACAAATTTTATGAGTTTGGATAGAGGAGCTTGAAAATGATTTTAATTCCAGCAATAAAGTGTTAGTATACTCTAAGAAAAGTTTTCTAAAGAAAAGTTATTTTATCTATACAATATACCAGTGTATAAAATAAGGTAGAGGTAGAAATGTTGATAATTGGATTGAAATCGACAATGATGGTGAAACTCTACCTAGTTGGACTGCAATTTTTGGAAACGCTCCGCAGCCTATCGATAAATAATTATTTGAAATGCATACTTTTGTAATACTCCATCAAAAAATAAATAATTTCTAACAAAAATGTTGTTCGTATAATTGTAAACACTTTTGGTGTATGTACAAAAAAAACAACTACAACCTAATGAGAATTATTTATACAAGGCTAGCGTTCGTTTGAAATGTGTGACATTGACGCTTCACTTCTCCGAAAAAGACAAGCCAATTTGTGACAGTTTTTAACACGATGTTACGCCATTTTCTGATAATGTTCAGTACAAATTTTGGGGGGATTAGGACTGTTTCAGAATCCTTAAACACCTTATCAGCTTATTAGAGTAGAGATGTCTTCATTATAATAAAAAGTCGTACCGATCATCAATCGCGATTCTATCCAACAGATGTTTATATCTAAAAGTGGATTCTATTATAATAGCGATATCACCGTTCTAAAGCCACTATTTTTATTTATTTTATACCATGCGATTTTAAACACAATCATCATAAAGGACATTCTTGAAAATGGATTACTAACGATCGTTTGCTTAATCAAATGCGTCGTTTAACAGACAACAGATCACTATCGAAAAAATCAAAACATCTTTTTATACATTTAAGAAAAGTGTAACTGTTTAAAAATACATTCTCAGTGTTTTGTTTTGTAATTGGAAAGAATAACCACCAAGTCGTAGAATACTTTCACAGCTACAGCTCACGATACCGCTGATATTTCGTCTCTCGGATGCTTCAATGGGTAAACAACGACGGGCGATCAATTTCAACTACGAATAACATTAAATAAAATTAATATTCCTTAACAATTCTTTTACATTTCACCCTTTAGGAATTAATTCTCAAATAGTAAATCATAATAAAGATATAATTACCGAGTTCAAAGATAAATCACAAAGATGACCTTACTCCTCGACTCCTGACACCCCCGTGATCCCCCTGGACGAATTATGGTACCGGAACGTGCAATGTTTTCTGAGGGGCCAATACTTGTATTCTGTACTTCGAAAAGTGTTCACCGTGGGGGGACATCACAGGTGACGTAGTACCCGGCGCACACGCGACACATTCGAAAGTATACGTCACCGAAAGGATGAGAGAAACGCTGGTCGCGACTGTCCAGAAAGAAGAGGAAGAAAAATGCAATTGTTCACTTTTTGCGTTGTCCGGACGAAGTCGGACAGTCCTGAGAGAGCCGTGCGAGCGGCAAATCGAAGTACTCGACTGCACGGCGGTAACATTGTTCGACCACAATGGCAGCCCGTGTCGAGACATCGATGTATAGTTGAGGTGCGCAGTGAGGACGCCGGAGAAGACTAGCGAAGCCAGCCCGTATCGCGTGTTGTCTATAACTCAACGTTAGACAGCCTCGCTGAAAATTTCTACGTCGAAGCGTCGAACGAACCGCTTCTCTCAAATCCCTTCTAACGCAACGTCGATACACTCGCCGGCTGTCCCTGAACACAGTCCAATCCACGCGATTCCATTATCCTAGACGCATCGTTGTCGAACACCGACACCGATGTGTCCCGTTTCGTCCCACGATGCACCATGCTCGCGATTGTTATAAATAATACGCGTTCAACAACACGTGCCGTGAATATCCGAGTGACATTTAGCGCAAGTAGGTCTCGGGTTAACGCGGGACGACGCGATTGAGTATTAGGTATAGGAGAGAGTTCCGTAGTTTTTTTTTTCTCAGCAGAATTCAATCCCTGGTGCACAGATCGTTGATGGTTCGTTTATTGAAATGAGTAATGAATCGGAAGTCACGCTTCTCTATGATTAATCGAAGTCGAGAGAGTACGAGTGTCAGAGTTTATGTTGGGAGTAGCAGGTGTACGAAGCTCTGAGCTCTATTCACGATATTCGATCTTCGATATATAAGATTATTCGTATATCACTCTAGCAAAAATTTCGTCGAAGGCAAAGGGTCAAAATCAGGCAAAATTAGTAGGAGTAACTCTGAAATTCTTTTCATTCGTGATGTGGATACTTTCGAGTAACTATTAATTACTGATAATTCGTTATTCGAATAAATAACGTACGATTCGGAATGAACCACCAAATTCTAAGAAATTAACAAGACAGAGCTCTATTTCGCGCCTAATATCTTCGGTTTGTGTACCGACAGACATCCGAGAGGCCCAAAAATCGATGCGAAACGAAGCACGCCAAATCGATCGAGAACCGACAGGAAAATGGCACGGAAAAACGAAAACGTCTGCGAAGGTGGCAGCGACGAGAAGGTGTCAGAACGAGGAAGGGAGGATGGGGTTAGGATATTCAATTTGCCAGGTTGGTTCCGCTGTTGGGCTGACATTTCGTTCATCGCTCCCCCGAGAACCAGCGATCGAAGCCTCAGCCTTCCATGACCGCGGCTACGGCCTTCTAAACGGCCTCTTGAAAGCACCGTGTCCCCCCTTCGACCCTTCCAACACTTCCTCTAAGCAATTACGATACCGTCGCTACAAGGGTCCGCCGATTTCGCGAACCTGGCCTCCTGTTTAATTAACGCGGTGTCCCCTACTTATAGCCTTATACGTAAGTTCGATTTACCATTTTCCTTTTCTGATTTTGGTTTTCCATTATCTATTTTTATCTGCTCTTGCTGGAGATTTATTTTGAATATTAACCCCTTAAGCTACGATTTAAGCTCCAACAGCGTTGAACCAAAATGCGATGGTCATATTTGACCCGAATAATATACCACGGGTCAGGCTCGTGATACTCAGTTTTGGCCTGAATATCCGACCACGAGTAATTGTAGCTTGAGGGGTTAACAGATCCAAACTCAATTTTGTACACGCTTAATAATGACGTAAGAACGTAAACTGAGCATAGCAACAAAAATTATACATAATACTGTGAATATAAACAAGTGATCCGAATAATAGAATATACAACATTATCGAGGGCAACCCAAATAGCACACCAGGATATTGTTTTCTAATGACGGAATACACTTGTCACTCGTGGTAGACATATTAATATTAATATATTGTATAATTCGGATATATTCCATACCATTTCTGTTTCATTAAAAGTAAAAAGCTAAAGTCTGTTTTAGGAAACCTTTTAAAACCTATTTCTGTGAGATTGCACAGATCCGATGAAAAAGTTTAAATTATTTACGCAATTATTGGCAGGAGAAACAATACTAGCGATTGGAACACAAGACCCACGTTTATTTTTATAAGTTAGAGAGGGAAAATTAATAAGGGAGACTTAATAAGGATGAATATATTATGTCTATTTACGATTTCAAATAATAGTTAAATTCATCCTTACCGCAATTTCTCTTTTAACAAAAAAGCGCATACGAATCTTTTCACCTTAAATTAATATTCGATCCCTATGTACCAAATGTACTGCAAAACGAAACCCAAACAATCGCCAACAATCTCCTCTTTTGAAATTTCATTATGTTTACGACAAAACTGACTGTCGCGAAATTGGACAAAAAATAGCCTTTCCAAGTCCTGTTCTACAAACAGGAACGAATTAACGGTAGACGCTAATATTCTATGGAGAAAGACAGATCGGCTGTAGAGAAATGGCGAGTTGTACGGCGTTTGGTGTGCCAGTCGGCAAACCTGGCCTGCTGTTTAATTACGCGCGACGGGTACCTCCGATTCGCGAGAAACCAAGACGGAAAATCGGCGATGGCAGGGAAGGGATAGAAACAGGTAGGACGACACTCGAGATCCGGGTACGTGGGCAGGAATGCAGATGGTGCACGATAAGCGAGCGCAGATGACGATCAAGAACCACTGGGACGTAGGAGGGCAGATCTTGTTACGGGTCGGGCTAGACTCACCGGGGTTCGAAGTGTACGGCGTATAAGATACTGAAATAGTGAAAGTCCCGCGCAGCCTCTAACCACGAGATTCGATAATTACCAGTTCGGCTGCGCCAGACGGCATAAATTCCACCATGGCTAACAAATAGACGGTTTACTGGACTAGGGAATAGTTGAGATTGCCGCGAGAGGGGTGGAAAACAAGGTTAGATGTTGCTTTCCTGGAACTTTATTTGCGAGAATGGTTGAAACACAAACGAGATATGAATTTATCGAACGAGTCAGGTAAATGACACGAGTAGCGAACACCTTCGTTAACGAATTACGTGGATGAGAAGATGATACCTGAAGGGTACGCGAAATATACAGTCTAGTCGTTTGTAGTTTCTCACGATTCATCTTCTTATCGGTGTATCTTATATTTCCTTTGCTTCTTATTAGGTTGATGTATCAAAGCACTGGATTAGGCAGTGGCTTCTTCGTTCCTTCATGTAGCCAAGAGTGTATAGACTAAGATACAAATGGTAACTACTGACACAGTTGTGTTAATTTAAGTACATTGTATTTCAATTAAGTGATAATTCAATTACGTTGCAGTCAAATTCAAATGTTTTAATTAATTCAATTGCTAATTGCTGTAATTGTGAATCTATTTAAATTATAATGTAATTGAAATGTAATCTAATTGAAAGGCAGCTCCTTGGTTTACAACTCAGAACTCTGAAGCTGTGAAATAATTTATATATACATAATATATTCCTTTCTCAACTCTTTTCTTATTAGATAACGTATTTCATTCTATTTATATACTAATTTCTTTAAATATTAAGTGATTGCCGTTATTATCTCCTATGATATATTTTATAAGCTAGGTATAGTAAGTGTCTAAACCGGTGCATGTTTCTTTTTTTTTAATTGACGTTTAATTTTAATAATTTTATTAAGAAGTTTATTTCTTTCCGTTTGAAACCTTCACAGTAGTTCTTTTCCACCATTTATTACCCTGTCATCTGATTACCCCTTAATTCGTAATTCTGATTCAGTTACATTGTAATTTAATTAAATGATATCTCTGAGTTACAAATTACAATGTAATTGAATTATTGTACGAATAATTCATAGAGTAATTCAATTTTAATGCCGCGCAACTCTGACTACCAACATATAGCTTACTTGTTTGAAATGCAAATGATTAATGAGTAGACACGAATTCCATTAATTCTTTGGGAACAGAGAAAGAATTTTTCTATCTATTTTAACAAATATGTACGAAATATCGTTAACTTCCTCAATTTTAAGTGAAGATGCTGATGAAAACAGGGGCGGAAGGAGACAATGAGAAAACGGAAGATTGAGATTGGGAGCTCACCTGTGTCTGTAGAAGAAGCATACTTGACGCTACCGTAAAGGCGGTGGTTGTCGTGGTCGTAGAAGAATGATTTGTGCAAGAAAGAACTGGAACGGTAGCTGTCGCTGGCCGTTGCTGCCGCTGGCGGTGCGGGTGTTGCTGCTGTTCTACGTCGTTACGTGTAACAGCTACCGCACGCTGGCTACCGTTGCTGTTATCGCTGTCTCCGTTCGGTGAGTGTAGCTGCCCTGCAACAGAAACGCACACCATCGAGGAAATTCTTCATCTCGGAACCCTTCGTGCATTACGAACTCGTACACTTGGAATCGACGCTGGTTCCAAGTCTCCGAGTATTTACATTTTCAAGAATACAGTACACACGGAAGGTTCGAACACCGCCAATTCTTATCTAGTCGGGAAACTGGTCCACGGAATTTCTGGACGATAAACTCTTTCACGCCAAGCCAATAATCGAAACGGCTGGTGTTCGCGGTAAAAGTTGATAAAAATGAGGGATGAATGGGGGCGTTCGTGCAAGGTGTTCATTGAGGACACTTCAAAAGTGCTTGAAAAGCTGACCATCAAACGCAGACGTTTATTGTTCGCGATGAAATAAATCGGGTCGCGGTCCCGTTTAGAATGGAAACTTTCCGACGTGCATCACGCCGTGCTGAATGTGCGCGTGTGACCACTTCCGGTGAGAGGATGCCGTCCTCAGTCGAGGATTCTTCCGTCGATGTTTGACGCGAGAAGGAAATTTCGTTTCGCGACGGTGAGATTAGCTCGACGAGCTACGTACAATATCTGCGATACTGAGAGTGACCAGCGTCCATGGTGATCATCTCTGCGACCGATTCGACTATCCCGGAGTTACCGAGGAATCGTGTCACTCGGGCGAATTTTGCGGAATACGACCGAATTCGGACCGCCGGGGCAACGTTCGCCTGGCAGCATTCCGATGGAATTCGGAAACCACTTTCACTGTCTCGAATTCCTCTCCTCGATCGTGGTTAGTACACCAAGATTGCTCTCTATCACCGTCCAGGAACAACTTTTTGGTCGTCGAGTCCTCGTCGTTGACTGAGATCCTCGACGTCGACGGTTCGTCCTATATAGGGTTGCTCCGACACCCCGGGGAGACATGAAATCATTGGCATTTAAAATACTACCTAGCCCATTCTACGCGGACGGCCACCATACCCCCTCGATTATTATTACACGATATTATCCCTAACGCCCGAGGGATGACTACGCTCCCGTCAACAAGGTCGATGATACTCTTCCTTTTTTTTTTTCGAATTATATTCGAACGCTACGTCTGCCTAGCTAGTCCCCCACTTAAATAAAATTTAAGGAAAAAATTGCATAATAATGCACTATTTATGTGCTCTTCAAATCCGTAAGAAAAAAATTTTGCGTTCGCTCCGTGTAATGCAAACAAATTTATTTAAATGTAGGGGCTGAGTAGGCTGCCAGTACACCCCCTCCCCCACATATTACTGATAAGCAATAGTGACAGAAATAAATGCAGGATTTATGCGCTAATTATGCGCATCTCATAATCATGCTCATCATGCTCTATCGTATAATTTCGATTTTTGCGCTTCATCCCCTAAGTGACTTCCCTCTTGGTGAAAATGCAAGTTTTGTCTCGTAACTTGCTAATATTACTAAAATTTCATTATTCAACTGTACACGATAAATATTCGGTTTATGAGCTATTATATTGAAGTAACTCCAATTTTTACGCTCCATCCCTCAAGGGACTTGAAGAGCGCATAAATAGTGCATTTTATGCCATTTTTTCCTGAAATCTTATTTAAGTGGGGGGATCTAACTAGGCAGACATCTGAACGCTTCATAGACGAGCGTTTCAAAATTTTGATGCGTTCGATCCGTTATGCGTTATCCGTTTGCGTAATGTTTGATTCATCTTTGGAAAAGAATGTTGCTTGGATGTGTTTATATACATATCCACGGTAGGTACTACTACAGGGTGAGCTAATTGGAACGTTCGATCTGGGCCTTGTACTATTGTACTTGGTTCATAATTTAGTAATACAGTTAACGTAGTAATACAATAAAGAACAATATTATTACTGTTGGCAGGACTCCTCGGTAAGACTTATTTAAGCAGATCCTGCCGTAGACGCTATAAGTCATTTTAACAATCTATTCAATTACGTCGACTTATTTAGATGTAATACTAATAAACAATCGAGTAATTGAAGATTGTTCAAACGATTAAAAGCGTTAGTCAGGATCTGATGGATAAGCCTTACCGCTGGGTCTAACTAGCACATACGGTTAGGAAAACTGTTAAAAAGTAAATATTTAAAAATTATAGAACTTGGAGTTCCAATATTTTCCTAGGTGAATCGAACACCGGATAGAACAACTATTTACCTTATTTTGCAAAAAGACATTGGCAGTAGATATCTATAAACTGATCACTGGACACAGAAAATTGAAGAAACAAAAATTGATTTCAAAAGAGGGTTTCGAATTTTGTTATTAGTAAAACACAAATAATACGGAATATATCCGATATTTTAATTTCAGATGAAAGTACACATGACGACAATGTATCGTGAAAGATGACGTTCCAGTATCAATTGCTATTACGCGGTCTCGTAGTTCAAATTGATTGCAATTACTCAAGGGATAAGTTCATAGCCTTCAGAGTTACGAATTATTCCCAAAGAAGATCGTAAATATTCATTTTATAACAACAAATTTAATGTCACTTTTTATTATCAAAATAATAGCCTAGATTACACATTTTTATTAAATCATGACGCTTGAAATTTGCCTAGCAGTGAATGGGTTAAAATACAAAATCCTAAAGTCTCTTCTGAAAAACCCTTTGCATCCCCCGCTCCAAACGTAACTAGTTTCGCCCGCGATGATAAGAATGGATAAAGCGAAAACTGTCGGTAACGCGATACTTCGGTAAACAGATGCTGCGTTCCTCTTTGGAGGGTCTCTCACCCCTGCGCATCGTACGGGAAGATTCAAATCCGAGATAGTCACGGACACCTAAGTCGCCGGTTCGATTTAATTTCACAACTGCGAACGTGAACGGACCACCCAGCGGTTATCGCGTCGTAAAGCGTGCGTCGTGTCGGCGCTGGCAGCTCGTAAACGATTCCACCATGAACGAATCCGACAGGGGTGTAGAGGGTACGACTCGATTAGGTACAATAGCCACGCCGTTACGGTGAATTAAATGAGCGACAACGGGAAGAAGGAGGGCGTGTGGTACCCTCGACGACGATCCGTGCAAATCGCACATTTCGTCGAAATTGAGGTTGGATGAAGATGGAACTTCGACTGAATCACGCCTTTTTTGCACAATTGTCTAGATTTTAATAGACGTTTACTGAAGAGCTTTAGTAGAGGAATGTGATCAAAGTCGGATCTGCAACTTGTTTTGTTAAGTAGTTGCTAGTAACAAATACTCCAGCTGGGCAACGGCTTAAAAGAGAAAGAAAACTACGGTACCCTGTCTGTTTCTTAATGATAAATGGTTACCGTTTACCATTACCGTACTTTTAATAATTACATATATATTTTATATTCACATTAATAAAAGCAAAGAGATAAACAGGATATTGCGTTTTTTGTTTTGTTTTTTATAGTGGGACATTTCTACTTACTGACAGACCTATATCTACCTTGTTCTATCTGTACAGCATTGTTATGGCGGCGACTGGAATAACTACTTCAAAATACTTAACAATAAAGTAACACGTAAATTTCCATATTCGTAATTTGTGAAATCGTTTCGTCGCATCTTCTTCTCAACGATGTAATTTAATTTCTAAATTGCTAAGTGTTTATCCTTAGAGTAGAAACAACAACCTATGTGAACTGTTTTTTAACAGATTTTAAATCGAATCTTTCTAAGTCTGTCAAAGCAGCCATCGAAAATTTAATTTTATCGTTAATATTGTGACTGTTATACCAGAAAAATCAATTCTCTTTTTAACCGACTTCGTAAAGGAGGAGGTTACTTAATTCGACATGTACAATACTTTTTTTTTTAAGGTATGTTCACCGATTACGCCGGGATGTCTTGCCCAATCGAAATGAAACCTCTTGTATCTTGTAGAGTATGTCCCCTAGTTGGTCCCGTTATCAAGACATTTCGCGATTTGTCATTTTTTACCTGTTTTTTTTTCGTCCAGCTTTGGTCACTTTCCTCTAATAATTAAATGAAACGATTGATCGCATGCTGAGGTAGCCAAATATGCCTAAGTCATCCTACTTACACTTTGTCTAACAAGAAACGTTTATATTGATATGAGGTCCAGCCAGCGTGGTTATCGCTAGCTGCCTGATATCTTCGAGATATTCTTTCTACAAAGTTTACAGCCACATATTTACAATTAGAATCGCATCGAATGACTGCCAAACCAAAAGCACGAAAATTATACCAACTATTGTATGTTGCTCAGAAACTGGCGAGGCACCTACGAATTGAAAGGGAAAAGAGGGAAGAAAATTTCACTGTTCGGACCACCTCTGCTCCCTCAGGACCCCCCTTTCTTTCGAGCACTCACACTGAATAGTCGTGATCCACGATACATTGTCGGTTAAATATAAAGTGTATCTTATGCGTCTCGATCTCTTTATTTTTTCTTACATATATCTACGCCAATAATTACTATTGCTCTCTTTCTCTCTCTCTCAGTTTATCACGATATGTCTCGTTCGTCGTCTTCGTTACGCGGCAGTTCTGTACATGTAATGGATTCAGCCAATATCGCAAATACGAGTCGCTGTTACGCGTATAGCTCTCTCTTCGTTATTCGATTCATCGAGACCGTATACCGGAAGCTCCGTTTAGGCGTAGTCTCGACCGTTGCAAGAATTCCTGTTTTTGGGTTTCTTCTTACCTATGAAGCTTAACGCAACACCAGGGGATAAATCCTTACGTTCATACGTCTAGTTGTACACATCCGTGGAATGACGACGTTAAGAATAGAAACAGAATAAACATCTCCGCTGCCATTTGGGAGACCGGAATGCAAAGTGTGCGCGGGAGCGTGTCGTTGCTCGGTGAAAAGTCACATAATGCGTCGGCCTACTCTCTCCCACCTTTAACCTTTTCTTTTTCCACGGCGGTAACCTGTCGGTCGCGCTGGTAAGGTGGTCGCTGCCAATTAAGATACCTGGCTCCCAAACAATGAGCCCTATCGGACAGCGAGAATCAGCGGATCCGCGAAGGAGAGGCAGCGAGCGG